AAGAAAGCTCTCTATTTTTTTTATTTAACGGCGTTTTTCTCGCAAACCGACGGAGGCGGTTGTGTTGCTGCGGGGTGTGCAGGGAGGAACCCCCCCAAACCCCGGCTCCAAAGTGATTCTTCAATGGGTCGTTCGGGGCTGCGGCGGTGCTCCGCTCCTCCCTGAGATGTTCGGATGGGGGAAGGGGCAAGAAAAAAAACCTCATTGCGAAGCTTGCGTGTATTAAAGCAGCCCCTGGCCGGTGCGGGGCTGAAAACCCCGATCTCAGTGCTGCGGAATTGAGGGAGATGCGGTGCGGTGTCGGAAGAGGGGAAGGCTCGTTGTTGGCTGATGGAAACGGGGCGGTGCGGTTCTCCTGGGAAGAGCGGTGTCCTGCGGGTGGGGTTGCGGGGAGATCCGTTCTTAACGCCGTGGGAGATGCGGGAGCCGGGCGGGAGAGGCGCACTTGTTTTCCCCGCGCTGTATGGGAAAGCAGAAGGGCGATGTTACCTTCTGGCTCTGTCGCTCAGCCCCGCACCGATCTCAAGGAATGGTTTGTGACAGCAAACCATCCAGGAAATGAATCTGTGCCATCTCCAGAGCAGGACGAATCCCCTGCAAACAGCTGGAAGGAAATCCTTCCCCCCTCCCAGCCGCGTCCTACCTGAATTCCCGACAGCGTCAATAGCATTTCAGCATTTCATCACCAATAAAGGCTGCAGACTGAGCCACTTAATTCACTCCGAAAAGGAAAAAAAAAGGCAGAATGCTACACATTAATGGCCATCTGGTAGCATTTTCTCCATCTCTGGATGTACACATACGACGTCGGATATATTTTGACTTCTCTGCATTAATTAAAAGCAGTGATGTTAGGAATTATTTGCATGTAATAACTGTTTACTTGTTCCTCTTTATGAAACTTGAATAGTTTACATTCTTTCATACATTTCCTTTTTCCTGTTGGCTCCTTCTCCAAGTTGCCGTTTCTTTAAAAACTCCCCGCTTAACTGCTTGCAGGTTGATGGGCGGAAAATGTTTTTTCTTTTATGAATTAAGCTTTCATTTCTGCAATCAATTATTCCCTTCGGCTCTTTTCTTTCTGTTTTTTTGTTGTTGTTTCTTTTCTTTTCTTTTTTTTTCTTCTCCGAATTTCCAAACTCAACCCAACCTCGGCTCTGCCTTTGGTTGCATTGGGAACTTTCCTGCTCTGCTCTGCCGTGCTGGAGGCAAGCAGTTTCCACGTCTCTCCTTCCTCCCTCTGGTCCTCATTGCACCTTGAGAAGGAGCAAAGATCGGGGCTGTTTTCTTCCCTTATTTCGGTCGGTGGTTGGGCTGTGCTCCCCCTCAAACCGAGGGGCTCTGAGGGGTATTTAATGCTCAGAATCGTTCCGGTTGGGTTTTTATCCCGGTTGCCGCTCTTACCTTCCTGTTTCATTCCTACGAGCCCGGCTCCGGCTTTGTTTCTATTGATGGAAATCTGAATTTAACGCCCGGTGTTTTGTTGGAGCAGAGCTCTGTGTGTCCGTTCGTGTAAATGCTGTGTGTGAAAACGCCCAGGGGGTCACAGCGAGTTCTGTGCCCTCAAATCGGCCCCTGGAGGTTCTCGATTTGCGAACTTTGAACGGTTCTGGGCGTTGTGTTCGCACCGGGGGCAGAAGCAGGAGCAGATCCTTCCCCTTCCCCTCCCCATCGCCATCTGCATCTGTAGAACAAAAGGAGGGGATCTCGAGCACTTGGGGGGGGGGGGGGGCGGAGGGGGTGTTCGCTGTGCTCCAACAGCCTGCCTTGCTGCTCGTACGGCGGTGTCCAAACGAAAGCCGGGGTTAGAGGGGTGGTGGGGGGGGGGGGGGTGGTGCGGTGCCCCCGGGGAGCCCCATTGAGGGGCCGGGGTGCGGGACGGAGCTGCAAGCGGCCGTCGGGGCCGGGAGCGGTGAATGGAGGTGGAGGAGGAGGAGGAGGAGGAACGTCAGCCCGGGTTTCCCGAGAAGGAGAGAAATGAGTTCAAAACGGTGCTGAGTAATAATGGTCGTTTTCAATTCGTGGGAGGGATTTTTGAGAGCCGGTAGAGAGGCAGGAGAGTCGCGGCCGTGGTTGTGTGAGAGGACGCCAAAAAATGCGGGGAAAAGATCACCTGGAGAAGGAGCATCCATTTAACGGCAACAACCAAAAATAGAAAGGAATAATAAATAAATCCGAGCCGGCAGAACCAGCACGGAGCTGCAGCTCTGCTCGGGGACTCGCAACCAACCGATGCCTTTCTCCACGTGGAAATACCTCCTAAAATCATGTTCCTTAATAACCCTTACCTTTACCCTCGGGTTCCACAGCTCCGCTCCCGTCGGCTTTTTTGCGGACGCGGTTTGTGTGGATCCCGGCGCTCCGGTGGGGCTGCGGAGCGCGTCCGAAATGAGGGAGGAGGGGGGGGAATCGGGGGTGGGGGACGACACAATTCCTCCTTGTGTAGAGAATGAGCTGAAGGTGCTGCTTGGTGCTGTTCTGCGGGTTGGGATGTTTGCAGAGCCGCTTCTGCTGAGTGTTCTCAAGACTATAATAATAAGAATAGATTGAAGGAGAAATTGTTATTATTGATTATTATTATTATCTCCTTCTAGCTATATGAATAGCCTTTATGTCTATTATTATTATTATTATTATTTGCTGTGGGTGTTCTCGGGTCCATCCTTAGCATCAAACGGTGGCTGGGATCTGAGAAACCTGAACCAGGGGAAGATGGAGCGGGGGAGGCTCTCCCTGCAGGGCTGAGGGTGATGCGTGGCTTCTTTGGGGTGAATTCTGCTCACCCTTCAGCACCCGATGCCTTTGTGATCCTGCAGTGGGTGCTCAGGGGGGGCTCAGCTGGAGCTGCTCCCTTGCAGCCCCCGTGGACCCAGAGGGCTGCAGGTGCTGTAAGGTGCACAGGGTGGGAGCAGAGCAGGGTAGGGGGCGTATGGCTGCTGCTATCTTCCCATCCCCTCCCATTCTGCTGGGGCTGCACTCCCGAACCTGGCTTTAGAGAGCATTTATTCCTTGCCTCCTCCCATTTATTTAATTTTTTTTCCCCATCGTTATTATTTTTTTAAATAATGAAGGTAACGATCTTGGTGCTTCAGTAGCATCACTACAGCTCCCCATGATGATGTGTGGAATGTCTCCTGGCAGCAGGTTCCTGCTTCCTGCCTACATGGGGATGGAGAGAGGGGCACAGTTACAGCATCTCCTAGGCTGGGGGTCACACAGGGGGGGCTGCTCCTGGCTGGGTGAAGCTGGGCTGGGTTCAGTGCCCATTTATGCTGCAGCTTGGTGTGGCTTTACCCATCATCTGTCACACCTACAGAGGTGCCTTGTTGGCAGATTGCTCCTAAGGAGCGTCCCATGGGCACCAGGACCCAAACTGGCCCTGGGGAAGGTGGGGAGTGGTGGGGGGTGGGGGGGGTCCAGTGCTGTGTTTTGGGGCTGAATTCCTTTGGGGGGAAAAAGGAATTGTCTGGGTGGGGAGGCACTGGTAGGCTGCTGTGGGTGGGAGGATTGATATGGGGACAAAGGGTTGTCCAGGAAGGTCAGGGCTGTTCTAAGCCAGTCCAGGCCTCTTTGTTGCAGCAGTGGAACCCTGGCAGAGCCAGCCAAGCTTTGTAGCTCAGCAATAACATCCCTGAAATGAAACGATGAGTGTTGGAGTTTGGTGTATGCGAATATTTATGTCTGAGCACGCTCCAGCAGGAGCAATCTGCTTTCAAAGGAACCGAACCCACGCGAATGTCCTCTTTTCTTATTTTTCCCTTTACCTTTGCTTAGGAAAAAGCTTCACCCTGACGATCACAGTGTTCACCAACCCCACCCAGGTCGCTACGTACCACCGAGCCATTAAAGTCACTGTAGATGGACCCCGGGAGCCACGACGTGAGTTCTGTGCTTTGTTTGGCATGGGAGGGATTTGGGGGTCCCAACAGCAGGAGGGATTGGGTTGCCGGCAGCCTGAGCTCTCCTCATTCATAGGGGAAGGACGCAGCTTCGTTAGCAGCATGGAGCTAATGAGGTGCTGGTGCACTGGGGGTGTGCAGGGTGTTGCAGGTTGGGGGTGTTGAGCTGGAATTGCTGCTCCCTGATCCCACAGGCTGCCCCGTGCCTCCTGCCTGCCTGTGGGGCATCTGCTGCTTGCTGTCAGTTTTATTTTCGGGTTGCACGGCCTAGCAGCCTGGTGGAGAATGAGAAAAACCAAGCAGGCAGCTCAACTGCAGAACCACCCCTCTGTGTGATTGGGGTGCAGGCAGTGGGGCTCTGTGTTCCATTTGTGGGGTCGGGGTGGTTGGAGCTCCCCACTCTCAGAGGGGTTGGGAGTGAGCAGCACTCTGTGTGCCCTCATCCCGGCCCCGCCAACCTCCTGCTCACCCAGCACCACCCCGGGGATATAAAGCACAGTTTATTCACTTTGCGTGTAAAGCTGTCGGTGCCCAAATGGAAGGGAAGCAGTTTGATCCCTTCTAAACATGCTTCAGAAAACATTTTCTGTTGATGCTGTCACTGGGCCATCGGCACCCCTTGATGTCAGGCCAGGTTGAGGCTGTTCCCTCTGTAAGAGGGTTTTATTTTCATTGCTGCTTCTTGATTTTTTTTTTTTTTTCCTCTCCTTTTTCTTTCTTTTTTTTTCTTTAATTATTTTTGTCTTTGCTCATTCTTAATTTTGGAGCCTGGGGTGTTGGGGGGGGGTCTGTGTGAGCCTGCAGGGTTGAGATGCTTGTTTGCAAAGCTGGCACCCAGGATGCGCAGGGCTGCTGGGTTTGGGTCGGTTGGTTCTTAGAACCAAAGCACAGCCCTGCAGGTGGAGGGTATTGCAGGTCGTGGTGGGTGCTGTAGAACCCGAGGACAGGCGGTGTGGAATTGCACAACACCTCCAGCTCAGGAATAGAAACCAAGCAGGCCTCCTGACTCCTGCTCAGCCCCTTATCTGCTGCATCAGATTGCCTTTCTAATAATAATAATCATCATCACCATCACAGGGAATATATAAATAATAATACACGGCGAGATAGTTACTACTCTTAGCGTTTGGTTTGCTCTGATTTCACCGATACTCCGCGCTCACCAAACCCCAGCTGAATCACAGCCGCTCCTCCTCCTGCATTTCAACACGCAGGCCAGCCGCCGCCGATCTTTAATTTAAAGGCTCTGATATGGAGGCACACTGGGCAGGAGCTGTGGGTTTGAGCTGTGGGTTTTGAGCTGTGGGCAAGCTCTCCCGGCTCTGTTTGCGTTGGTGCCGTGCCTTCGTTTGGCACAATTAGCCAAAACCTGCCATGGAGCAGCCTGCCCTGCCTCTCGCTTGGTTTGCCTGAGGGATGCTGTCCTGGGATGCAAGGTCAGCGCTTTGCTGCTGTGCTTTTGGCTTTTTCTGATCTGCATACCTGTGCTGGAGATGTCGGCTCCTTAAGGAGGTCTGCGTGGTGTTCACGTGTCGGTTGTGCTTTTGTCTTGTGGGTTAATTGCATAGAGTGGCTGAGGTTGGAGTTGACTGTAGAGACCACCCAGTTCCAGCCCCCACCATGGGCTGGGTGCCCCCATGAGCTCAGTCTGCACAGGACCCCATCCCTGTGCCCCCACAGATTGGTGACCTGAGCAGTTTAGGCCTAAATTGTCTTTTGTAGGGCTTTTTTTGGTCTCCTTTTCAGAAGATTGTAAACTTGTAGGCAGAAAAGGGAATTCACCTATGTTCGGTTTGAGCCTTGTTTGGTGAAAATCCAGTCTATGGTGGGGAGATGGGGGGTAGTTTTCTCCTTCATTATACTCATTGCTTTGCATTTTTGAATGAACCTGCCACTAAAACTAAAACAAAAAATCCTTTTGCCCCTCCCTTCCTCCCCATCCATCCGTGTGCAGATCTGCGATGTGGAACTGCTGCCTGCAGAGTGGTTTGGGCTGGAGATGTCAGAGGTGGTTTTCTGGCCCGGCTGCCACTGGGGGGCTCTGGCACAGCACCCTCTGCTCAGCACTGCTCACCTGGAGGAGCCTCAGGGCTTTGGCTGAGCACCAAGGCTTCCATTGCCCTCCCTGCTCAGCTTTGGGAGGTGAGAGCAGCCACCAGGGCTTGTGGTTATTTGTATGGTGCAGGTACTTCATAGATGAGTGTATCTGTGTAGATGTGCAACGTGCATATAGGTGACAATGTGCTTTTTGGCCCTTCTTGGCAGCAGTGTCACAAATGAGAGGGACATGGAGATTGGGTGCAGGAGCAGCGTTGGGGCTGGGGAGGGGTTGGTGTGACGGTGCAGAAAAGCATCCTTCATATGGAAAGAATTGGCCATTTGTCTTGGGATCCTGGGAAAGCCCTGGGCATCATCTTCTCAGATGCAGTGAAATTCTTCCAGCAAATGTTCTCGTGGGGTTTTTGGCCAGAACCGTGACTCCTCTCCGTGCCCCACCTCTGAGCTTCCCATTCATCTTCCACCCCTGTCCCATCGCTTCATCTCAGCCCTTGAGCAACTCTTTTCACTAAAGCTGTGCCCAGAAAACATCTGAGGAGTTGGAGATCAAGTTGAGTTGGGTGAGAAATGATGGCAAACCAGGCTGCAGCTGGAACTCATGGCAGGGCTGGGGGGCACCAGGCTGGGCACTGGGACCCACAGCTCTGAGCCCACGGAGTCCTAATGAACTCCCAGCGCTGCCTTGGTCCTGCTGCCTTTGCTCCATTCTTTCTATTGCACCCTGCTTTGCTGCGGGTTTGATCTGCAGAGGACATCTTTGTTTTTTTGGAGTTGACACCTTAGCTCTAAACAAATGGCGTGTCAGGTGCCGAGTGTTGACATACTCTGTGCAAACAGGAAGTAATAAAATATTTCAGCTTCCTGTGGAATTTCCTTCCCTCCCCCCCCCCCCTCTGCAGCTCTCCATTTAGCAGCAACCCGACTTTGCTGCACTGCAGTCCTCGTGCAGAGGCTCTCCCACCCACAGGAGGCAGAATGTGGAGGAAGGAATAGCTGGGAGCTATGCAGGGCTGTTTAGTCTATTCCTGGATAAATGAGAGCATCTCCAGGGCCTCCCCTCACACCTCTCTGTTGGCTGCCTTCCCTTTCCCCTTCCTCCAGCTCTGTCCTCCTCCTTGCTGTCACTTCTTGCCAAACCTTTCCACTTCCTCCTCTCCTCCCCTCTCCTGCCCATCTCCTGGGAACTCTTTGCAAGCTCCTGCTTTCTTCCTTCCAGTGTCTTTTCTAATATTTTTTTTTTGCTGCTGTTTACCCTTTCTTAACACCCATTCCCCAGCTTTTTACAGCCCTTTCAGCCCTTAACCCCATGCTTTCCCTTCCTACCCCATCCTGACCACCATGGTGAGGAGTGAGGAGAACCCAAGCAGAATGGATCACCCAGCACACACGTGTGCAGCTGTGTCACCAGGAGCCCACCCACCCCAGACTGTGGGTGCTGGAGAGATGGGGATGCTCAGAGCCCTCTGCTTCCCTGCTGAATGCTGGACCACTTGGTAGAAGGTCAGGAGAAGCTGGGGGATGGAGATGTGTTCTATTTATTATTATTACTATTATTTTATTTATCCCCTCCCCCAGCAAAAAGCACATAGGGATGGAGCAGGGTGCTCCATCCACCCTGGGTACCCATGTGCTTTTTGCTCTGCAGCTTCATGTTCTCTTCTCCTGCACTGATGGGAAGGAAAGCGAGGCCAGGCAGGGCAACACGTGGGGCTCCCTCATCCTACTGACCCCAGTACACTGTGGGGCCACGCTGGATGTGTGCACTGACAGCTCTGAACGCAAGGGATGGGCTGCAGCCTCAGCCCCAGCTCCCTGCACACCCGTAGCTTCTCACCTCCCACGTTTCTGAGCCATTTCCAAGAACGCTGGGTTTTACTTTGATGTTCTCAAGAGTCTGGGTGAGGGTTTCCCTTCCCTGCCTGTCCCCTGTGTGCGACGTCAGGCTGAGCTGCAGCCCAGCCACGCGCTCTCAGCTGCGAAATGGAAAGCTTGTAGTCTGCAGGGGGTGGAAACCCTCCTTCCTGCCCCTTCTCTGTGCCTGAGCGAGGTGTTGGTGGAGGTGTTGGTGACCCAGGAGGGGGGGGGGTTGGGGGTGCGAGGTTGTTCTCCAGCAGCCCATGCATTGAGGGGCTCATGGCTGCAGGCAGAGGTGGGGAAAAAGGTCCCCCAAAATAGAGGAAAGGCTGAGCTGGGAATGGGGAGGAAGAGGCGAAGGGGGGCAGTGGGTGCCTCCAGCCCCATTTCTTCTAGTGGTGGTAACAGTGCACACCAAGCTGCCCCAAATACACCAAAGAGAGAAGCCCCTTTTGGTGCTTTTCTTATTTTTTTGTCTCCCAAGATCTGAATTTTTTATTTTTATTTTTTTCCAAATTCTGGTGAATCTGTTCTGAGGGGTTTTGCTTTTGATTCTCAGTGAGTCCTCCAGTTCGAGGCAGGGAGGAGGAGGGCGTCTGGGGCTGTGCTGGTGAGGACAGCCATCCCACATACCCCCCCCCCCAACCCCCATCCCCACAGCTGCAGAGGAGTCAGATTTGCATCTTGAGACAGCAAAACCAGCAGCCTGCTTGACTCAGGAAAGGGAAGCAATGCTCTTCATCAGAACAAGCTCTCTGTAGAGACCCCAGTGTGATGGTAACAACTTGGAGCTGCCAGGTGTCCCTATAGGATGTGCTGCCCTAAGCTGAGCCCCTATCCCCCCTCATCTGGGGCTGTGGGTGCACCCCTTGTGTTGCCTTATGCTGGGGCATAGCTGCATTGTGCCAAGCTGACTCTTTACACCCTATCTTCATGCCTTCAATGGCTTAAATGCCATAAAAAGTACAAAACTGCAATTATCGTGCAGTGGAGGTGGTTGTTTCTGTGCTGACTTCTAGTTTTTTAAGTCATCGATGATTTCTGGCGAAACTTCTGACTCTTTGGCAG